TAACCTCGGGATTCCTACTCGGAGCCTTTGACTTGAAAGCTAGACCTACAAGACAGTGGAGCTTAGCGTCCGTAGTCCATTTGGGGTTGGCGTCTCGTTCTTCGTATCATACGCCATTTGGACGATGCCAAACGTCCAAGGTGTCCATTACATCTAGATGCCCCATTGAGCCGGTGACCATTACCACAATCATGTTGTGGTTCGTACGCCTCCTCTTCGTTGGTTTGGAATCAGGGTTTCGAGCCGTTTCCCCCTGAATGAACTGCCAGTGGTCCCCTGACTCGTTTATAGTCCCGGATCTTGACTTTTGATCGTCTAACTTTGATGAGAAATCTTCTCCGCCTCGAGAACGCAGGGTGTCCCCAGCAGAGGCCATTTGATACGCTTGGTCATATAGGAGCATTTCGTGAGATGTAAAGGAAGGCTGACCAGTCACAACTCGAGAAACCCAACCCGACCATACCGGGGTTTTTGGACTCGTCATTTATCGAAGTAGACAAACGGCACTGTGTTCAGGGCTGTCGTACCTAGAACGAGAAAACGTACTCGCCAGCAAAGACGTGTTCATCAGTGTTCGCGAGATTACCGGAAAATTCATTGATCATTACGAGTTGTTGATAATACAACAATGCCTCTGTGAAGTCCACCTCATTAGAATGTGGTCGCTTCACCCGGAACATGAAGACCAGAAGTCGATAAGCCCACAGCCCAGATTTGAGCTACATTGGATATACACCTCTGTGTTCTATTAACAATTCGGGTTTAGGCGCATAGAACGGCATTTTATACTGTTCACAAATTGAAGACAGGGATCCTTCAAATTAAAATAATTTCGAAATGGGAAGTATGTCTGAGCTTTTTTCCATTAGGAATGATAAACATCTCGGGTTTCTTTCGAACCGTTTGCATATTATGTTCATTTTCACGGAGTCGAAGTAGTATTATTTTACACCCTACCGAACATTTTTTCTAGGATAAATCTGTTTGGAAAAAACTCAGTCAAATTCTGTTTAGTCTCTTTTTACGATGATGAGTTGTCCCATCCTCATCATACCAATTTTGATCAATCCCGGGTGATTTGGTTACCGAGAAAAAAGGATGGGATGCCTGCTATTATTTGGTAGATGCAGTTTGAGGCTTTCGCTATCAAGTTACTGTTTATGATTCTCTCACGGTCGTAGANTCCCCGAGTTCTCTATTTTTACATTTTCTTACTTCTTTCTAATCCTCTTGCCACTTGTTACCCACCTCAGTATGATTGTTTGTTCGGTAACGCGTAAAACCTCGTTTTTTCTCTCCGTAAGTATGTCGTATACCTTGGTATCGATGATCCGAATATCCGATGAAATGCATACGATACAGTGCCTGTCCCGCGAACCTTCATCCTGTGCCATCTCATCTATATCCAGTGACCTAACCGAGCTTTTATCAGGTACATTGAACATAGTGCCGGTGAACCAGTGCCATCTCGATGTCCCGCTATTACCAAGATGGACGAACAGGTCATCCGAAATTCGGAAAACCAGGCAACATTGTATACAGGAAAATCTCTGGATATATTTGACACACTGGAATCCATTTTCCACAGGAATAGTTGATATCTGTTTGCTCCCTGGCTTAATATACTATTGTCTTCCCCCTTCCCCGAAACGTCTCATTTTTAGTACATGAATTGAATATCTGATTTCTCTCCGCTTTTGAAAAGACGTCCACTCGTTGTTGCACATTTGTTTCTTCCCCATTGAACGCAATACACAGCTTGGACCAGCTTGATGTCTATGGCTTGAGTCCATTCCTGTTGGCTGTATTAACCG